ATCGATCAGCGAGGACTTGCCAACACCAGTCTGTTGAAAACACTGTCAATACTGGCCTGAGATCAACGAAAACCCAGTACCTTTCCTATTACCAGAATTCGGAACCTGGGGAACCTCTGACGTCAATCTGGGAACACGTCAAGGTCATCCTGCCCCACCGAGGACAGATTCGAATGATTTCGTCAGTGGTGGGCAAGAGTTCCAGTCTTGTATCGGAGGCAGAGAGTCGGAGACAGGCTGCTCTGCTCGCTGACCTACGACTCAGAAACGATTTTCGATTGTGAGATATGGATTCTTACTTGAACAATTATCGTATTCCCAAAAAGTTCAACCACGACCATGATGTTTTCGTGAGGCTTGTGGTATCCTGTGACATTAAGTCCGTGAGTACTTGATCAAGGCGAGGCGGTCGACCTTGTCTATCAGGTGATCCCCTTGTATCAGACGTGCGGAACACCATATCGAAAGAAATGTCTTCATGGCCAGTCTTCCTAAATCGTCTCTTGTACACGTAAACGTAAGGAAAATGGATCCCCCAAGAGAAAGTTTGCTACTGTCAGAAAAAAATAACAATTTAGATGGCACATTCGTCTCGGTGTCTCCAATCCCTTACATGGGTGGAGAAAATGTCTGCCGCAGGATCTTTCCTTCATCGCGTTCAGTGTGTCTTTGCAGCTTGCCGATCCCTGCTTCAGTAGACTCTACATTCTTTTCCGACTTGCTGAATCAATAGAGATGTCTAGTTCGATATTTGATTCAGCGGGGTTGACCACGTTGATGGGAGAGTTGAGTACCGGAGATATGGAAAGGACAGGGAACGGTCGAGGCTGATTCGAGTTAGGCAAAAGTCTCCTGTATGAAAGTAGAGATGGTTGGGCAGAGACCATGCGCCATGTTTATACGGGAGGCCATCCAGCAAATCCTGTGATACGGGCGCTCGCACAGTTACACACTTTGGTACCTTTCCCTATGCCAGTACCTTGATCGCTTCCGAATCCTAAAGCGAATGCAGGAAAAAGCACCATCCTGCAGAGGGTTGCAACACAAAAGAGAACCCGATACGACGAAGAGACGGGTGATGATGATTAATCCGTTGTGACGACATCCAGAGAGGTGAGGTGTACTTTAAGTTACTACTTTCAGTTGGCAATATTATGAACCGACGTATCTCCAGCAAGGATATACTAGTGGTACTCAAATCAACTTTTGAAACTCTTGAAACTTCGCTTAAACACCGGCTAAACGCTTTCAACTCGCGGCTAAACGGCTTCAAAAACTTCGGCCGATGCACAGCGATTGAAAGTCAGGCCGGTATCGCTCGGCGGAGTTTTAATAACTATGCCTCCTTCTCGTCAACGTGTCCGTCGTTCTGCACACCTCAAAACCAACCCTCTAGTGCGCTGCTCGATGGCGATGGGTGATGAAACTTCAAACTCTCGAGGATCGCTCAAAGCGCCTCCAGAGCAATCCGCACCCCGCCTAACTATTCAGTGGCAGAGCGACCACGCTCTCACTGATCTACTTGTTACTTATCTTACTATGCACCCCGCTGACTGCAGGATTCTATTCTACTCTGATGGGAAGAAAGTGATGTCTACTGCTGATGACGGTCCCTCAGGCTCGGACAAAGGACAGATTTACGGTACCCTGGCCAAACTAATCTTCACAAATCACCCCAAGTACGGTTACGCATACTCTGTCAATGCAAAAAAATTCTGCGATGCAGTCTGCAACTGCATCAGAATGTGAGCACTTTCATTTTTTTTGTTCCGACGATAAAAATATTAAAATTCATCCAGTCTCAGGGGTAAATACAAGAAAATCAAGGCATCTTTTGACAGCACAGGCGCTGGTGTGATACCAGCTGAGGGCACGCAAATGAGAAACTTATTGGGTGAGTCTTTGGTCCTGAGTTTCTGGTCCTCGGCTGATCAGTTGTTGTAGATGCAGCACTGGCAGAGCTCCCATGGTACACGGAATTAGATGCCATTTGGCATGCTAATCCGTCCATGGCCATGAAAACCTACTCATCAAAACCCGGCGTCGATCACACTGGCACCTTATATTCCCTGATTCAATCATGTGGTGGGGGTGGTCCCCCCATGCAGTTTGATGCGCCCCCAGATGCACAGCATGTATATCCTGGCGCCAACACTCAGCCACCTCCTCATGCATATCCCGAGCACAACACCTATCCTTCCAGCACTCTGCCCCCGCATTACGGCCAACAATACTATCCAAGGTATCTGCTAGCAACGCCGTATGCTGGGGGTTCACATGGTGATCCCTTGATCGATCCGGCACTGCAACAACCCGCACCTGCTCCCGCACATGCTCCCGCTCCCGCTCCCGCACCCACTCCTGCTCCTGCTCCCCCCTTACCCGCCCACCCCCCCTCTACAATATGACCCCTCAAATCCATCTTCCTGGCCTTCCGACGTCAGACACTGATGTCGACATTGCCGATGTGGACTCTCTCGACACCGGTGACCCATTTGATGCCCCCCTCGGAGACGCCTTACATCACCTCGAAGGTGACGAGAGGGCCGATAGCTCTTCCAAAGTCGCAGGGAAGAAATGCCAGCTCCCTTCATCGCCGTCTCCCCCTCCCAACGCTCCCGAACCATTCAATGTGCCAGAAAAATCCCCAGTGTCTGCCTACAACAGCCGCTTGGCATTTCACACACAGAAGCCACCAAGCCATGGGAGGTGATGCAACCTACCATTGGAGGTCTCGGTCAGCACGTCAGCGCATTCATCCATGACACGCAACACTACCTCCTCGTCGGACTACCTTATGTCCTCGACCCCCCAGACTTTGCTTCCAAACAGCGGCGGCTCAAAGAAGAAGAAGGCAAAGCCGGATGTGATGCAGCAGGTAGACGAGGTTAAGGATGAGCTCGCATCTATGCACTCTGATGCGATGTCACGCCACGATCACAAACACCATCGCTTCCTTGCGAAGCTCGAGGTGAAGAGTGAGCATAATCGTGACATCAAGAAGTACGAATGGCTTCGTGCTACCCGCAAGCATGAGACCTCCCAGGCCACTGTCAGCCATCAGCGTCTGCAGGAGTCTAAAGATGCCGAGATTCGTCTATGTGAGGCGGACATTCGAGTCCACGAAGCACATTCATTGGTGCTCGACAAGGAAGCGGAGAATCTTCGACTCAAAATTCAGTTCCATCAAATGATGCAGGTGAACAAGGGCCCAGGATCAGATGGAGGAGTTGAGTGAGTTGTTGTGTTGCTTATTTTGTTCTCGTCGTCGTCGTGTCGTGTCGTCATCCCCGTCCATTGCTGCTGTCATCATGTTTCAGTTTATTGTTGTCACCATGTTGTTTTCATTGGACATATGTTGGTTGTTTTGTTAGTACTTCTTTGATTGATGTTACATAGCTATATACATTTGTTGTACAAGTGTTTTAGTAGTAGTACATGTTCAAGAAAGTATTGTGTCAGTGATCATCCTTCCCTGTGTTGTGCATCTGAGTGAGGATTGTTAAAAAGCTCATCCATCAACTTTGCACGGGCAGCTTGACCTAGAGTGCCATCATATGTCCTGTCACCAACTACTTCTTCACCATCTGGACCCTCAAACTCTTGATCAACAAAATCTTCCCCCTCCATATGAGCCCACTTGAGAGAACTCTCGTATGTTCCATCCTTCTTGCGATGCTCGATTTCAAAGTGAATGATCATGTTGTGCAGGATGATGCAACACTTGATCCACTGCACAGCAAACTCAAGGTCTTTCTCAGCCTGAATCCTGAACCGTAGCTCTCGAAGGGACTGGAACTGTCCCTTCAAAACAGCAAATGTGTGTTCAACACGAACACGAATCTAAATAAATGTAAATCAATGGAAAACCACTAAAAAAAAATACCTTAGAGAGGTGATAATTGAATGTCTTCTGGTTCTTTGTCAGCCGTCCATTGTGAGGCTTCTTGAAAGGGGCAATACACCATGGTTCCAATGGATAAGCACTGTCCGCCCAAACCCAATGACCATCTGGCAGAAGATCGGCATGCTCTTCATAGAGGCGAGTGGATCGAAAAGCGAATGCATCATGGACACTCCCAGGGTGACCAAGAGAATAATCAACAATCAGGAGATTGTGGGGCAAGATGACTGCCTAGAATTAAATTAATTTTTGCACATGAGGATGAAAAAAAATGTTACCTGACAGCCAAGGGAATACTTGGACTTCCTATCATATAATGTCTCACCATAATAACCAGGTTTTGTGAACAGATTCATAGTCGAGCCATTGATGGCTAGAAAGCCACCTTTCCACTCTGGACAGGTACGTGACTCAGCAAATTTGCGAGCCAGGTCAGCATCCTCAGAATTACCTGCTGGGAAGCAGATAAACTGATCATGGGCATCAAGTACCGCAATCATCACACGATTAGTGCAATTAACCACAGACCCGACACTCACGCCTGCCCATTGAGCAACATCCTCAAGAGTAATGGCATTGCCATAGTGGCCTGCCCGATTCAGAAAGATGGCGAGCTGGATGGAGACAGGGAGCTGAGGATTGTTGGACTGGTTTTGGAAGATAGGGTGATCAGAGATATAATCGAGGATGTCATCAAAGATCTCGGGGTTGACACGAAGTTTCTGCCAAAACAAGTGAGGGCGGTGTTCTTCATGATGGACCAGCATGTGAAGCTGAGGTGCTCGTGGAGGAGGCTCGTCAGGCTTCTGGAGTACACAGGCCCTCTTAACCTCATCACGAAGAGCATCAATGGTGTCTCGAAGCCTGTCGTAAGGCAAAGTGACATCATCAGAAGATACAGAACTAAAACTGGAAGAATCCGAAATCCCTGTCATAGGGGAAAGGGGGGATAGGGGGGAAGGAGGGCTAAAAGACAGACTGATTGTAACATTGTCTGAATCAGTAGTAGAAAGTGAGTCCTCGGAGCCGGAATTGCTCTCAAAGTCCGACCAGTCATCTAGGATACCCTGATATTGCAACCTGGCCAAAGAAAGTGCAGCCTGATCCACAATATTCAGGAGCTCTTTACGTGTGGATTGACGAGGCATAGTTGTGGTGGGAGCTACAGTGGGTGTGGGATCAAAACTCCCATCTATTTGGTGCATATGTGACGCAGTTTTTTGGTGGAGTTTAAATTTTCGGAAAGTTCCGAAGTTTTGTTTCGCACTGAACACACCGGTGTCATCGCTGACCTCACCCTTGAACCTTGATGCTCATCCACAGCGTCGAGCAGGACACCATCAAATTCCCGGGTGTCATCCACCCAAGGTAAGTATTCCTTGCACCTCTCGCAAGTTGCACTAACATTCACCCTTATCTTACAGAAAATCTATTCTAGTTCAGATCCCACGCGCGCCCCACCTGACCAGCGCCCCATCTCTGCTGGAAAACATCGAAGATGGCCGTACTCTTGGCGCTTGATCTTGCATCTCCACGGAGGCATGCAGATCTTCCTCCCGACACTTTTCCTCCCCCCCCCAGCTGCTCAGCATCCCCCCCTCCTCCCCTCAGCACTTATTTTGGTCCCTCCCGCACTCCCTACCTACAGCTGATTTCATTCCCGCCCGGCGGCCTTGTTTTTTTACAATTTTTATTAATGCTTTCATTTGAAATACAAGTATGTTGGACCACTACTCTACCACTTTCCCCTATGTACATAGCACACTTTGAAAATCACAAGTGTCATTTTAAAGTCCGACTACATGCCGATGTGTGCCGAGCATATTTCTCTCGGACTTGCGCGCGTTCATTCAAACTTTTAGCGGGGAGTTGAAGGGAGTTGAACGCAGTTTAGCGAGCTTTCAAGAATTTCAAAATTTGTTTTGAGTACCACTACTTATGGTGCTTCGAAACAATCCAGGGTTCATCTTGCACGATTTATGCGGTTTTGAGGCAAGATTTGGAGACTGGCTCAGAACTGGACGAGGTGAAGGCATTTACGATTTTCGCATTCCGTTCTAAGAAAAGAAGTGAATTCATGACTCATGCATGGGTAATGGGTTCAAGTTTGTGTGGGTTAGTAATTGGTCAAGTTAGCGACATGTGTTGTACTGCATCATCCACTAGGAATTCTGGCTTGACCTGGACAGACCATAGACAAATGAAGATGGTCGTTCCTTCTTACTATGTGTCAATGCCGTGTCGGTGGGAGTGGCAGCTTTGATGCAGCTGAAGGTGCCGCGCACGACAGAACCGCCAAAATAGCCATGTAGGGCAACTACAGTGTACACCCGTTCGCAGAGGCTCGGCCTGAAAAACCATCTGCTGGCAATCAAACAAAACAGTATTTGTTTGATTCTCACCCAACCATCGCACGACAGCACACCGATGTCTCCCATTGATACCTATTACTACTCGTCGCTCGAATGATGTAGGATCGTGTATATAAATATACACCAATGTATAGTCGACACTGTCAGTTCTGCAGCCCTGGATGGCATCTGCATCTGAGCTTCGAATGCTTCATACAGAAGGGGTCACCTTCCAAGAGGACAAAGACTCAGTCACATTGGAAGGTGGTCAGGCTGCTTGGGCCACTGCTTTTGGATTGTAAGAAAACTCAAATTTGGATCGAGAAACTGGTTCTTGCTCAGGGTTCTACTCAGGTTCCTTGTACAGTTCTGCGGGTTGGAGTGAGTCTGGTGCTGACGTCACCAAGGAATGGCTCTGTGACTGAAGATTAAAAGTTATGCCTCTTCATTCAGTGTCTATGAAGGTAAGTTGCTGCACATGAAAGCGAGCATGGAACATTGAACATTTTACTACCTTCCAGACTTCTATATCCAGCATTAGCTCACAAATGAGACATCATCTGCTATATCGTGGGTTTCTACATACTTGCATTTTCACGGCGGATATCCTCAAGGTATCTTGAAGATGGATCGGGAGCTCGAGTGCATTTTTAATCAGCACTGTGGGCCTTGTATCGGGTTCACTATATGATCGAGGATATTTGTGAGTGCAACTTTGTTAGAGGTTCTCGACAACGTTCAGCATTCTTAACTAGCTACCATCTCATGATTGCTGGATCGCTTCTGCAGAGTTTCTCTCTATTCATGTTGTCTTGGTCAAAACCCGCGTCACTGGGTGCTATCGTCCATCCGATTATACTCAATAACTTCCTGGATGGTCCTCTTGGCTTCACCAATGGCGTCCGTGCAAGCGCAGGGTTCGTCAGCGCACTACTTTTAATTGCATGTTTGTGCATGCGAACTCACCTTGATCCACCGGTGACACCGGTGAAGTACATTGTGGCGGCTAGAAAATGTTTTCATGATGTGCCATTTACTCTTATGGTGGCAGGGTGAGAGCTGTAATACACCTTCTCGAATTCCTCCAAATAACTATCCTGCAGGGACTTCCTTTTCCAGATCGGCCTCTTTTACCCGGCATACTTCATTCAACTCGACTCTATCAAGCATGGTATCAATGTTGCCTTTTCATCTTACTCTGTGGGTGCCAGCACTGCACAAGCAATTTTCCTGCTGACAGGGTCACTAGCTAGCAATTTTAAATGCATCCAGTTTTATAGGATGAGTCACATCAGGGTTTATTGCAGCGTTTACAGGGGTCCCGAACTTAGCTGTCATCACAACAATTTTGTGCAGTGTGCTCATTTTGGGCATGATTGGGTTGAATTGCTTGGCCAGCATTATTGTGCTTGCCGTGCTTCATGGCTATTTTGAAGGGCTGTGTAAGTAATTTTCTTTCATCCAGGTGAAAAGTTTCTGACAGTTCGTTTAATTATGTAGTTGTTGTGATAACGCCAGACCTTTCTGAGCTTGGGTGCGTGGTTTCAATTCGGAGGTATGAAGAATCTGATTTGAATCATAGCACGCGGATGGGCACCGCTGTCTTCATCGGTGGTGTGTACTATCAGATTACAATGAATTCTATGTCAACTCACATGCGATCACTGCAGGATTTGGAAGTTTGATTGGTAGGTGCAGTTGTGTCATTTCTTGCTTCTTATCTTATACTTTACCAGTGTGCATGGTCACATGGCGTTTATCCTGTTCTCAGTAGCTGGACTTGCATGTATGTCAAGAATCTCTTTGACCTCACAACAACGCTTATAATTCATTCGTTTTTAGTCATTCGCTTCCTCAGCTCGACTGCCTACATGCTGATCCACGTGTTTGCAGGGGAGTAATGACATTCTAGAGCCCCATATGATACACGAATCCCTGTACGAAAACAAGGCTGTTCTGGTAATGCGCACTCTTTTGTGATATTGATGTTCTGCTAGTTGTGTTTTGAGAGGACCAAAAGGACATTTGATTGCCTTGTTCCGTATGCTCGCTTTGTTCTGTGCGCTTCGTGATACTGCATTTTATCCGTATTGTTCAAAGTAAAGACACATTGACAATGATTTTTTAGTTGCAGGCTGGCTAAGTACTGTTTCTCAAGACCTTTTTGTGTTCATATCAGGCCACATGTATATGCAATTGAGAGATTCCAAGAAGTTATGCTGCTCTTGGTCTTGGAATTAGAAAACAATCATTGTTAAGCACGTGCAGCGGCTTCTATGAAAGAGGACTTAAAGAGGACAGTCAGTGAGTGTAGTGTATGTATGGGGCGCGCAATAGCGAACTTAAAGCTATCCTTCACCAAGATCTGATGTTGTCTGCGGTGACTGTAATTTGTATCCTACTTACTGGTACATACAAAAAGTGGGTGGCCTAACTCTCGTGCTTATTACTGATGTGGGTAAATTGCTACAAGGTGGTACATGGCGGCTTGGGTGATTCGTCCAATCTTTAAAACAACTCTAGTATGAGAACAATAAAATATGACCTGGTATACATCTGGTATTACATTCATGCATTCACTTCCGGTGGGGCAACAGAGTAGAAACTGCTCAGAACAAGTAAATGCATGCTGCAAGAAAAGCTCACATTACCTTAGGGAATCTGGTGTGGTGGTAGCGTCAACAGTACAACGGGCCAGCCGGCCCAACACATCTGACATCGTTGGTCGCTTTTCTGGATCTTCATCCATAAGTTGTCGAGATATCTCGAGCAGCGTATCGTGATCCATGGATGGGTGGCACTTGATACACAGCTCCTCTAATGTCTTTCCACAGGACCACAAGTCTGCACAGATCGCACTGTAGAGGCCATTACCAGCAGCTACCTCAGGGGCAATATACCCGGTTGTGCCTACGATGCCACCGAACTTGTGTCCAACACCCTTGACGCACAAGGAGGTGTTGAAGTCAATGATAGACAGATGTCCGCCATTGTGAGGGATCAAAATGTTTTGCGGCTTCAGATCCATATGCGCCACACCGTGTTGGTGCATGAAGTCGACGGCTCCGAACAGCTGTTTAGCTAAGGACCACAGGTGCACATCAAGGTTGTTTAGCATCATAAGCCAGCTGCCAGCCACAGGCATCAATATGATGTTGCCGCCTCGCACAGGCCAGATTTGGACTCCAGATATGGTATGGTTCGCAGGAGAACTGATTCCTGTGAGGTATTGCAAGATTTCGATTTCCTTCCACCCTTCTTGCACGAACTTCAGGTATCCCTTCTCGGCCTCGTGAGTAATATTCAAAACTGATGCGATGAGTGGATACTGTAAGGTGTGTTGTAATTTGTTCGTATCACATTCCAGGACGTTGTGAGGACACGTACCCCGACAAGAATAAAGTTGATCTTGTAATTCATCCTTCTCAAAATAACTTGGATATCATCAGCACTAAAGACACCAAGATCATCTTGGGCCTGGCCATTTCCACCACCCTCAGGTATTGGGGGTGACACCAACCGGACCGGCTTCCTCTCTTTGGCCTTTGTGAGGGAGAGCAACTTAGAAGCAGCGTCTTTGACTTCACTAAGGCTGCCCTCCTCGCCTTGGTCAAGATGCTCGGCCAGTTCCTCAAGTATTGCCACGAGGTTGTACATCTCACGAAGGAATGCGACCGCACCATCTGCCGTGGTAAGTTTAAAATTTTTCTGGGCAATGGAAACCTGGCCTCTCTGTGAGGGAGAGAAACGAGATGACGAACAGGATGACACACCTGTCTTTGCGGTCCAATATTGGCAACTACATATCTTTCCGCAGTCAAATTTGCCCATAGATAAATTGCCACAACGAAAAAGTGTACTGGTGCACCTTCGCGAATCAAGTACTGCCCTGCCCTCGCAACAGTGATGGATTGGAGCAGCATTTGGTATTGATCTTCCTCTTTCTCCTGCGAAACCACCTCGGAGATGAAGAACAGGCAAAGAAACTTTGGCGACGAAACCATGAAATCGCTCCTTGGGCGAAATTTGCACCAAGCATCAGGCTGATCTGGAGTACCAAGGAATATGGGGAAGCCCCAAGGCTTCTCCCTGAAATATTTCATGATAAGCAGTTGAACTGCGGCAAGTTGACCCACTTACTGACTGAATTCGAAATGTGGGCTGCGACGGGCAAAGAACAGCAGTGATATAAAATACACAATGAAGTTACTGGCCTTCAGGATGGAGGATCCGTTGCTCTCAATGTGATCTGAGTCCTCACCAAAGCACTGAAGGACATTGAAGAACATTGCGAATTCCTGGTGGGGAACCTCTGTAGGATTTTCGCTTTTGACTTTACCCTTTCCTTCTTGACGTTATCACTATCACCACCATATGCACTTTACTCTTGGCATCTTCTCACCATACAAACACTACCGCACATCATTTCCCTGGTCTCGTTACCTAAGCTCTCTCATATCGCTATATAGTCTTGACTGCCTCATAGTACACCTCAGTATTGTTCTACGTGACACTTACTGAGGTGTGTAGATGTTCTCTCTTGTATCACTTGTACTAATGTATCCTAGTGTCTCTCCTGCTAGGTACATATTGAATCCAGTATTGTTCTACGTGACACTTACTGAGGTGTGTAGATGTTCTCTCTTGTATCACTTGTACTAATGTATCCTAGTGTCTCTCCTGCTAGGTACATATTGAATCCAGTATTGTTCTACGTGACACTTACTGAGCATCTCTCCTGCTAGTTAACTCTAGCTCGTATAACCTCGCCCGATGGGTTTGCAGCCAACGTAAAGATCTTGTTAAATTGTGTAGTGTAGGAGAGAGTATTCCGATAGTCCCTCATCTCTTGGGCTGCCGGGACCTTGGAGAAGAACTGAGGAAGGGCTATAGGTACAGCAATAGAAGTGCTCACAGTATAGGTATGGGACTGTGCCAATGCTTCCTCTATTCCAGAGATTGCGACAGGAAAATCATCACCATGTACATCGTCAGGATGCCACCACCCGCCACCTGCCAAGTTATTGCAGACGTCCACCATTGTCCAGTTCTCCAGGCTGGATAATGTGATCTGCAGGCAACTAAATATATCTGCATAATTTGCATTGAGATTTCAAATAGCTGTCTCTGCTGGATCTGAACAAATGAGCGATGAGCTAATCAATATCAGCAAATATGCTGGCAGCTCACCCGCCCGAGGCTGGATGACCATGTAGACATGTCTAATGGCTAAATTTGACGCTCGTACATCCAAGACATCATAGGGATCCAATTCTTCCCATTCCCTCCTATCCAGGCACGTCTGAACGATTGCTGTGGGGTTTGAGATGTGGAGGGGGAGTGGAATGGGGTCTTTGAGCTTGTAGTACTCATATTGATCAAACATTGTTCTACCCAAAATCTGACACACTATTTCTGATCCGGATTTGAGGTCCTGAAAGACCGTTTAGATCTCAGCGTCACTGGAAGTTGTAACATGTAACAATGTAGTTTTCAGCACGACATAGAATGTGACCATGGCAGGCTCAGCTGTGGGAGACGCGATAAATTGGTTAGATGTATAGAAGGAGTATGCAAGCACAAATTTGTGTAGATTCATGAAAGAACAATGACTACGTCTTGGCCATAGATTAAATATATATTATGTAATACATTCTGCATTCCCAAAAACAGTCATCCTGCTCGCCTGCGGTCTCTCAGGTCTTTTTACAGCAGTAACGAAGAGTAAACTACATTTGCTGTCTCAAGTCGAGCATGAAAGGAGGTCCTGTGGAGTGCGCACATGGCATCGACACCAATTGGAAATCACCCTGTTCTTACATGTAGGAGCTGGCACTCTACTAACATATAATTATATCTGGTGGATACTGGCTTTGTTCACAGATGGTTTCACTCACTGGTAGTATTGTCTTTTTCATCTTGTGAGATGCACTTGTCAAAGGGCAGATCAAGGACAGGCCTATTGATTATGGGCTGTAAGCTGACTCTCGAGGGAAGTGTTATAATGTGTGTACTGTATTTGACTGTATTGTAGTTCTCCGAATCATTCTAGATCCAAGAGTTGCATATGGTTCCCGGTGAGTCGTGTGCGTGAGTTGTCACGGACGTTCAGTACCTCCCACTCAAGGTGTTCCTGAACGTGTCATGCCCCAGTTCCTTAACCCAGTGAATGTTCCCTTGAGCTCAGCTGCCAGTGTGCTACGACATGACTGGTGATTTGCAAGGTGACGAGTCTACGTCATACTTACAACACCAGATACACTTGACATGATGCACAATTATTGGGCTCTGCAGTGCACATGTGTCACTTGTGGTGTGAACCCACACTGTCCATGAATCCATTTAATGACGAATTGCTCTTGAAACCGGAACATGATCATTGCGGCTTATAATGTGAACGACAGTAGCAAGATATCACAGCCAACTACGCATAATGGTTGAAGTACACAGCATAACGAACAACCACAAACTCTTATGAAATGGTAAGTGAATCTTGGGTATCATCAACACATCAGCATCACATCAAGTAAGCTCTGCAAATCCTACCCTCATATTTGCGTAATCAAACACCAAATACACATTTTGCAGAAAGACATCGCCAATGATCGTGAAATCTATGGTGTGTAGAGCATGAGCACCAATGTCATAAAGATACAGGCTATACGCACTCAGTGCTGAAGACGAAGCGATCCCACCCATGCAGTCGCTTGAATTGGTGTCTGGCCCGAGGTTGAACGTCTGCGCAGATACTGTGAAGGTGCGTCCACCAAACATGAATGTAGGCACGGCTGAATCCATGATATCACATGGAACTGCACAGACGAAGATATTGATTAAAATGGATGACAGTGAAATAGGTAACATGCTTACTTGTCCAGTATGTATATGTGCCCACTGGGTGGGGTATAGTGCCAGATATGTTTGTGTAGTAACATTGTGCGACTGAATCAGATGTGATGACGATGGTGATCCTGGTATCGATGATCGCAGGAACGGAGTGTGACCCATTGATCTCCTGCCCCGATCTCGAAATGCTGCCTAGCTCCACCTGCCAGTAGCCCCTCTTTGTCACAGGAATATACATGAGTGTGTCGGAGCGGTAGGGGTTCGAGGTTGTTCCTCCGATGGGTATTTCGCTATCTCTCATGGTAGTGGACAACTTGAACCCCAGGACACTTTGTAGCAGTTGACCGCTCTCGCTCAGTGTCTCGACAAGTGGTGATCCCTGGAACTCTGAGATTTTGCTGAATGCCAAGCCAGAGACCATCAGGGGGGTAATTCAGGTAGTTGCTGAACGCTGGTGAATATGCTGATGCGGTGCCGAGAGTCTGATTATTGTCCTGACAAGCTATATTAGTAGAACAGAAATAAACACATTGGGCAACGAACTCTGGGGCCCCCAACAGAAACAACATCAGAGTACTCTTCACCCACTGTCTCTCCAGAGCCGTAGACAAGTATGAACGGCTCCTCAGAATCTTTGGCTGAAGAGGATGTAGCGGGGTCATATTTTTATGCCCGTCACAGGTTGCTGTGCATTTTACAGATGGAAGGACTGCAAGTAGTAGTGTTGTCAACTTGGAAATGAAGGAATAGATCTCTGGGAAAACTCACAGAGGTCTGCGCTGCCAGTGTCAAACACCACTTCATAATGTCAGAATCAGACTGTGTCGTGCCAGTGTCGATGATAAACGAACCTGTAAATTGTTTTGGAGGCATGCCAACTTCGATCGAGTCGTACCAAAGGTCTGCATTGTAGTTTGTGAGGGGTACATTTCCATTTGTGGCCCGCTTGGTCACCGAGCGAATGCTGAGGTGACTGCTCAATGGGTGGGGAGATCCAGTATTCTGTTTGTAGGCTTTCATGGTGGCAGCATACTTCCTAGTTCATGTCAGCCTGATGAATTTGGTGGATAGAGGAAGACATACTCAGATACATAATCAAACTGTCTCTTCACATCAACCGCTTTTGAGTTGCTACCAGCGGTGTTGAGGAGAATGCGTTGTGTGCGGCCTATGTTGGAATGAGCGCTAGATGGAGGAGTGGGTGAGCCAACAACCGCGACGACGAAAAGTGCACAGATGGCAGGAAGCTTCATCTTGCAGGTGTGACTAAGGTAAGAGAGGAGGGGCCACAAGACCAGGTTTTAATGCTTGAGACAACGTCATCGACTCATCTTGTCTGACCACAAATGCAATCTAGGCTGACACTGTGACTTGGGACAGACTCACCAATGATATTCGCTTTGTCATCATACACCTTAAAAGCTTAAAATGCAAAAAGTTGATATACTTGTCGTTTTTACAAGTGATTGCTTGCACGGCTCGTTGTGTGAGAGGTCAAGAGGATCTATTCTAAGTGGTTTTCTCTTACTACTAACAATTCTGCAATATATTGTGGAAGACGTAGGTCGAACTCGCAGGTAAGAGGGTGAACTCGGGGCGGGTGCAAAGCCGGGCTCCAAAGTATTCACAATGTATGATTATGTGTTGTAAATTGATGTAGATTTGACTACTGGAACAAACTGGCAAATAAAATAAAATATGAGCTGCATCAAGGATGTGGATCGAAGACTGGGAGTGTGCGGGATACGAATGACTTGTGTGAAGGAAAATGAACAAGATAATGCATAGAGAAATGTGTGGGGACATGTGAGAAACAACAAGGGGGCCCAGAGAAGCGTGGCAGAGTCTACGGGAAGTGCGACCAAATGGATAGAGAGGAAGCATGTTAGTATATGATACAGAGAAAACATTTGAGGTATGAAGGTATTGAGGATATGGACCACTTACTGGAGACATCTACGCGGCACTGTTCTCGCACTAAGAACGACCACTCCTGCACCTTCAATCGCACCGCTTCGCCACAATTACTGTCCTGTTCCGTCTCTACGTTTGTGGAACCGACCTCATTCCTATGAACAAGATACAACAACGCCAGGAGGACATCCATTTCATCTTGTACAGAGGCATTCCTCTGCCGCGCAGGTCGGGCTTCGTTATTCCGCTGGTGCTTGGCGTCAACACGTGGTTTTCAAGCGGCATCATGATAGTAGCCCCGTCATGAGTGGAGATGGGCACACCACCATACAATTCCGGGCTCCAAGCAGGGATCACCTACTGAGTGAATGCCACAAGTCTCCACAACTTCATCATTGCTGAAGCATATACAGCTTCAAAGGGCAAGTTCAGGGGCCAATCATGGGGCGCAATGCGGAGTAGACTACCGTTAGGTACGCTGATGTTGTAGATGGGTGGTGGGTTCGGTGGGGGATTGAGATCATGCAGCATGATATGACAGTCGCCATGGGGGAGGTAGTTGATGTCATCCTGGTCCATATATGTGTTCGGTATTTGTAATAAAAAAACAAGGGCACTGGAGTATGGTCAAAACAAATTCGCACGTACTGGTAAAAGTGCAACAGTCATCCCCATGAAGTGGTAAATGTCTCAGCTTACGAATAGACCGTTCTGCAAGTCCTTTACGTCCCTGACGATCTGAGGAACTTGGAGGTTTGTGAAGAAGTTTATAAGGATGTATAAGGGACCACGAGTATACGTGCGACAGGGATGTCTGGAAGGAGTTTTCTCATATGCATGCCATGGGTAAACTTCAGCGGTGAGGATAATCGGATACTAGGCCATATACAACAGTAAACAAACCAGTTCGTGTCCAAGTAGTAAAATCAATACCAAGATAATTAATCATATGCACGATACTACAACCACCAGCACCAGCACCAACTGCTCCTTCCGAGTCTGCACAGGTGTCATCCTTCACACCATCCGCAGTGTGCACTCAAACTAGAAGACCCCTCCCCCGCCCGCATCTTCTCTAACCACCGCCTCTCACGTGCCAATTCTCATCCATCACCCACACCAAAACTCGCTTCCAAATCCTCCTGGGACGGGCTCCACCACAAAAAGTCCTCCATACTCGATACAAAAACAAGCGGTATGTCCACACACATACTTTCGTTTCCAGCGCGCTACGCGCGAGTACGGCAGGTGCATTGGCTGTGGGGTACGTTCCTGCGAAGCAAAAGCAACACAATCATCAGTGTTTGTGTGTGTAGGAAGGTTGCGGAGGAGGGAATGTACTTGCGAGGAAACTGACGCCTAACACAAGACTGCGATATCCCATTCGTCACAGGACTCTACAAAGACCGCGAATGAATTACCCCAACACCACGACACCCACCACAAACACACACCCACCACATAATACAGTAACATATACCAGTCTCAGATGGGCAGCCGGGCATGACAATGTACTGATAGAGATGGGCCATCTGGTGTGGGCCGGTGGCAATAATTGTACCATGATAGACAAGTGGGCCGAGGGTGTGGTGTATCCGAGGCAAACGGATGGGCCGGGGGTATATAGTATACATGGTAATACAGGAATGTACTATATAGGATATCAACAATAGTAGTGAATCCAGTGGGATAGACGAGTGGGCCGGAGTAATGGAGTGCAATGTAAACGAGTGGGGCCGGTAAAGGAGGTAAAATGGAGATGGGTAGGCCACGTGATAGGGCCGGTAAACAAGGTGCATTTGAGACAGGTGGGCCAGTAAAGGATGTGCAATTGAGACGGATGGGCCAGAGGTGCACTTGAGACGGATGGGCTGGTAAAGGACGTGAAATCGAGATGGGTGGGCCGGAGGTACAATCGAGACGGATGGGCCGGTAAATGATGTCCAATTGAGATGGGTGGGCCGGACATGCAATCAAGATGGATGGGCCGGTACAGGATGTGCACTCGAGACGGATGGGCCAGTATGGGACGTGCAATTGAGACGGGTGGGCCGGTAAAGGACTTCAGGTTGAGACGGGTGGGCCGGTATAGGACGTGCAATTGAGACAGGTGGGCCAGTAGAGGACATCCGGTCGAGACGGATGGGCCGGTATAGGACGTGCGATTGAGACAGGTGGGCCAGAGGTGCAATTGAGACAGGTGGGCTGGTATAGGACGTGCAATTGAGACAGGTGGGCCGGAGGTGCAATTGAGACAGGTGGGCCGGTATAGGACGTGCACTTGAGATGGATCTGCATGATCACCAGTAGATGCATGATATCCCATCTGGTACAGAAACACTCCTTAGTGGACTGAAATGCAGGCTACGCAAGTCAACTGTGCGATTATCTCATAAGTGATCTTGCTCATTGAAAGCCCACAATGTTGAGAGCATAATAGACTACTAATACAGATGAAAACATGAAAAATATGTAGTAGTATTACTTCTCCGTATCACTGGAAGGCTTCTCAGCATGCCTAGCGCTCGCTGACTGACCATGTTGGAGGGATAGAGGTCCATATCATTGGCGTGGCAAAGGAGCCGAGGTGGACTGACCATTGTCCAGCACATCTGATGGCCCTCTGGTGATCAATGTGTGAAGGGTGCCAGGTGAAGGCATGGACCCCACCAGGAGAATGAGAGGTGGTACCGGTGGTGCATCACCCGGAGGAAACAGATGGGCCGGATACTGTCGTGGTGAGTGCCGGGTTGATGGTGGAAGTGGATGGCGCCCGTGCTTGTCTTGCGACCAGTGAGCGCGTCTTCAATGCCAATGAGATCACCACCGGTCTGG